CAACACAAGTATCATTTCGGCGAGACGAGTTCTGAGTAAGCCATTTTTCGATTCTAGCTGATGATCCTTTTTACTTCTTTTTATTTTTATTTTTATTTTTTTTATTGCTATTGTTGATCTGTAATGTTTAGTTACTTAATGCACGATGTTACTTAGCTAAGCTTACGGTTGGTGCGACAGTGTCCTGTTAGCTGTCGGTAACACACCGCATGCAATTATTTATATATGGCACTATATAAATAATTGCATGCGGTGTGTTACCGATATTTGCGAAAACCCATAAATGGTTTCCTATTGCTTAATTGTTTTCTACCTACTCTGTTTTTTGTTAACCGAGGGATTTCCGATCAAATAAATAAATAAATAAATAATAATAATAATAACTGGTATTTATTTTCTCCCACATATTACAATCAGTACATCACAAAAAACTTAGTAACAATGAACTATACAACTAAATAACAGCTATAAAAATGAACTAAATAAGATCTAGGTGGGAGACTGGTGCCCAAACTAGGTTGCCCTGTGCTATGGGATCACCAGGCCCCTCCCTCAACAGAAGTTATAATGCTGTAAAACATTTATAATTAATACAGCTACGTGTAATAAAATTACATTAAAATATACTTGTTCAGTTTGGAGAAACTGTGTAAAAATTACTTGCTAGGTATATAAACAAAGAAGAAAAACATGCTTTAAGTACTAGTAAAGGTAAGCAGGTGTAATAAGTGTTAATAATGTGGTGTACATGTGTGCACGCACGTGTGTCTGTCTCTGTCTCTGTCTGTGTATGTGTGTGTGTGTGTGTGTGTGTGTGTGTGTGTGTGTGTGTGTGTGTGTGTGTGTGTGTGTGTGCGTGTGTGTGTGCGTGTGTGTGTGTGTGTGTGTGTGTGTGTGTGTGTGTGTATGCATGTGGTGTGTAATATATATTTAAATAATACGTTCAAATAGTTTTTCTGTCTGTTCGTAGTCTAATGATTTAAGCCAATTGATTAAGGAAATTTTTGTCTGTCTTTTAGTTAACGGATATATATTTAATAATTTGTTAGCAAGATTATATAGGAGTGGACCTCTGTAATTGAAAAATCTTCGAGCAAATAATAAATTGGTAACAGGTATTGTGCATACCATATGAGGAAGTCTTTTGTTTAATACAGGATTGGATTTATTATATTCCGTTTTTGAATGATTTAATAATATTGTCCCAAGAATATAGAGCTGACGTACCGTGAGCGATTCACAGAACTTGTAAAGTTCATTTGTTGAAAATAATCTGTTGTTGTAGATTTATAGACTGTGGTAGTAGTTTGTATTTGTAGTCCCGCCGTTCGCCGTACTACTCCGTCTCCGTGCGGGACGCAAAGGTGAAAAGAGTAAATAATCTAAGGGGTGAAATCGTAAAATTTTGTAGCTCAATACCACTCAATACCCATTCATTAGGGTTTTTTTTTAATTATTATAACAAAACAATTTAAAACAATTTTTTAATCGTTACCTAGTTTAAAAATTATTTTACATTTATTACATTTATTTGTATATGAATTAAAAATATCATTTATATTTCATCGTAGGATTTACTAAAAATAACACTTCAAAAGATTTCCAGCCAAAAGGATTGATTTAATATAACTTTCAACCGTGCAAGTGCGATATAATATATACGATAGAACGATAGAAGTTTAATTTTATAGCAAATAGATGTTACAATTTTTTTTAGTGTACTAAATTGAAAGGATATTTTTTTCCAGTAAATTTATTTGTAATAAATAGCGCCATCTATAACGTTCTATAATTCTAGTCATTTTATCGAATCAAAATCGATGGACTCTAAAGGTGGTAAGTGCGATAGACGCTAGATGGCACAAAGACAAAGACCTGATTTTTGCATTTGCTTTGCTGAATAATTTTCTGAATAACGATTTTATTTTTATCTGGGGCGCCCTGTCATTGCCTATACTTGCAGCACCTAATTAGCACTTAATTCCTTGCTATTAATATTTATCGTATATCTAATAACTTCATTACGTTGCCAGCGATACGTTTTGCCAGCAACGCAAATTTCAATTGTTCGTTGCGGTGAAAATTTTGGAGCAACTAGTTTTTAAACTTGGTACTTAATTAGCGCCTAAAAAGCCCCTAATTTGGACTTTTTCTGAAAGCAATTTTGATTCTATTTTGATTTTCAGGAAATCTGAATTTTGCATCTGCTATGTTCTGAATAACGACTTTATTTTTATTAGGGGCGCCTTGTTATTGCGTATACTTGCAGCACCTAATTAGCACTTAATTCCTTGCTATTAATATTTTTCGTATATCTAATAACTTCATTGCGTTGCTAGCGCGACGTTTTGCTAGCAACGCAAATTTCAACAGTTCGTTGCGGTGAAAATTTTAGAGCACCTAATTTTTAAACTTGGCACCTAATTAGCACCTAAAAAGCCCCTAATTTTGGATTTTTCCAAATGCAAATTCCCGACTTTGCGTTGCTGGCGATACACAACTCATATTATGAAATAGCAACGTTGTGTTTAGTTACTAATAACTTCAAAAGATTTCTATTCATTGATTTGGTCAAGCTATATCATGACACGGTCATCAAATAGTGTTAAATACACATTCATTTCAGTCATTTTTTCAGTGTTTTCACGAAATGATAGACTACTTTATGATATATGATCAATTCTACGATCTGGCCACGACATACATAAAAATCTCTTTAATAAAACTATGATGATAATGAAAATTTTGCAACAATTGTAGACAGACCAGTTTTTATCACTTTACATATATATTAGTAATTGAAATAAAATAAATACCTTATCAATTTTCATATTTTTGATAGACGTCACTATTATCTATTGAAATTATTACACTTTTAACATAAAATAACAAAAATACTAAAAAACTAAACGTTACAATTTTTTAATAATTTTAAAAATCTAATAATTTAATCATATAAATGTAAGTTATTTATATTATTTCATTTATTAGTAACTGAAGGCGAAATATACAACTTTTTCCATTTGATGATAGATGGCGCTGTTTTGAATACGAAATATGTGTAGTTTCAAATTATTTTACCAAGATTATAACTATATTTTAACTTTATTTACAAATATGGTAATATGGTATTTATTTGAAAAACACCCGTCATTCCGCCTATAACTAAGATACAATAGAAAATTAACATCTAAAGGACATTAATATTCTTAACCTTCCTTTTTTGAAGTTCCGTAATCGGATAAAAAGTAGCCTATAAGTTGCCCCGGGTTACTGTCTACCTACATACAAAATTTCATGTAAATCGGTTCGGTAGTTTTTGCGTGAATCCGGAATACACAGACAAACAGACAGACAGACAGACATACAGACAGACAGAAAGACAGACAGACAGACAGACAAACATTCTAAAAACCACTAATTTGGCTTCAGAACCCTTTATTTAGTCCCCTTGACTTATTTTTTCAAGAATATATTAGAATTACAGACACGACTTTTCTACAGATTTATTATATGTATAGATATAGATTTGGCTCGTATGGCACCATAAAAGACAATTAATTCGGTGGTTTTTGGTCGTATTATAACATTCGGGGACTTTAGTCAAAATTAATAATCATAGCGTTGAGTGACCCGCTCGAATATATACACTATAGTGCGCGGCGATACGCGAGTGAAGACGTCACCGCAATTTGACCAGCTGGCCGAATTTTTACGATAACAAGAGCATTTTAGTCTTCATTACCTCAGCCATTTTTAAGATAGGACCTTCAAAAGAGCGTACTCCTTTTTAAAAGACCAGCAACGCATCTGCGATTCCCTCCCTGGTGTTGCAGCTGTTCATGGGCGGCGGTAGTCACTTACCATCAGGTGAGCCGCATGCACGTTTGCCCCCTCTTCTATAAAAAAAACATAATTTTTCTGGGAATTTTCTCTAGTTTTGTAATAAACACATAACAAAAATCGTTAGCCTTATCAATTGGTGACTTTAATTTACCGAGATTAACACATATTGTCTTAGGGAAGATTCTGTTTTGAAGATATCCGCAATAGAACCCGAGTAATTGACATAGCCCAACGGATTAGTAAGCTGAAGTGGCAATCGATTGGCCTTATAGTTTGAAAAACCGACAACCGAGGGGAAAAAATGTTCTCGAGTGGTAGCCGAGAAGAGAGAAAAATTAATATTTTAAATGATTTCCGAATGTCTGATGGATCTTTTGTGAATATTCCTTGTCGTAAACTTTTCGAGTGTCGAAACAAATGATCGGTAGATTAGTATCAAAAGTTAGTGGTTTTAAGTATCCCACAACAAAACATACTCTATTAAAACTCAAGAAGTAAAAGCACGTTTTCGTTTCCCGACACTACTGACATGTTGCAAGGCACGTTGCGCACAGGACTACACCCGGGAACAAATGGCGCGACACTAACGCGGGACACATGTGCTCGCTCTCCGAGCGGGAACCAGCAACAAGTCCCGCGTCACGTAAAATCGCGGGCCATGTCACTGTGAAACGTCGCAGCGTCACTTAGATTGAGTGTTCCGCGTCATGTTGCGGGACAAAATGTCCCCTAGTGTATCTGGGGCTTTAAGCTGCTATTTTACGGTCGAGCCGACCCATTCATGCTACAACTATAGGCTCTACCACGTATACAATACGTCTTTACGTCTTTCTAGTATATCTTTATATATAAAAATTACGTGTACCATTGTTTGTCCGCGATAAACTCCCTAAACTACTGATTTCAATGAAATTTTGCACACTGTATGCAGTTTGGTCCAACTTGAGAGATAGGATCGTTTCTATCCCGATAAGTGACCCTCAATTTTTTTAACGCTAATTTCAGTTTTAATCAGGAAAGCAAATGGTCGTCGGAAAGGGCAGAACAACGTCTGCCTGGTCAGCTAGTAGTTATATGTGGTTTCTTTACTCTTCACATCTATAAGTATAATATAACTAGGTTTCTAGTATAGGAGTTAAATAAAACAAGACAGTAAATAAAAACTTCATTTATTAACACTGAATTGCACATAAAATTTCCCATCACAATATAATTATTAATACTCCGAGGTACATTATAGTTACATCATCACCATGTCAACTTATGTATACATTCAGTTTATTCCATGTTGTGCCGTGTATTTACATGTGTGTCTAAACTTGTCACATACAATATAGTTACAAAGCGCTACTTAGAACCGATCAGTCATGTCGTTTACAAACTAATGGTACTCCCTTGTGAATAAAATTCGAACCGGTTACACTATCGTATGTTTTTTGATCCACGTTTACGAAAAATTACTTATCAAGTAGCACCTCTAACTTTTAAGGTTGCAACTCACTTGTATCAGCGGCGTTTTAGCATTACAAATCCTCTATTATCAACTATAATCACATAACTTTAATGCATTTAAATTAAGAGCAAAATATGTTGCTCCTTGTACCTATACTATGTTACATTCAGATATGAAATTACCTAAAAGACGCCTTTATTACTGTTGAGGTGTGGTCAATTACTACAAGTGGATTGTAACCCTAAAACACACACACTGGTATAAATTAGTGACCGTGACCGTGGCCGAACATTGCTAGGCCGTTGTTTTGGTTTGCTGGTCGGGTTTCGTTGTCGTTGTTGTTGTTGTTGTTGCCCTCTGTGTTGTTAATGCTATTTCGGTTTTCCAACTGTTGCTGCCACATTGAAGCGTAGAACCCGTTTTGCGCTAATAGCGCTTCATGACTGAAAATTAAAATTTCAATCAGTTTGACGGTCCTTTCTAAACAATTATTAACATCCACTTATTCTATACATATAAGGAAAACTTAATTGTCTGTCTGAAATATCAGAATAACTGGCTTCTATTAAGCTCTTTAAGGGAATTATTTTTAATTTGTCAGTCTTTAATTTTTATGATATTTTAACCAATGGAGGAGATGTACAGATTTTTTTCAAATAATCAACAACCTGTTAAGAGGTTTATTTTTCGAAAAAGGTGGACCCAAATCATAATATACACTTGTCATGGGTAGGTTTACAAGCTCTACAGTAGTAGCGTTTACCATTTAAAGGATTGATTATTAAAAATACAGTCGGTATTTACAAAGCAGTTTTGGCTTTCAATTCTCTCCCGGGTAACCACTTTACAATAACCTCAAGTGGACTTACGAAAACTGGTAAAGACATTTTGGAAAAATAATTTAAAGCGCATTATGGCATTTCCCATAGACACCTCTAAGAATACCCGCGGGACTAAAAGGGGTGGTGTACATTCTTACGCTGCCACCACATAGAAAATGGACTATGGCAAAAGCTAGTAACTTTTTACGGCTACCGATAGATGGCGGTTTAACAAACTCATTAACGTCAGACGCAAAATACCCACACCCGCAAGGCCGAGCAACTTTAGATGACGAGAGATATCTGGTACTGCAATCGTTATTCTGCCTGCCAAACGTGACAAATAAATCAAGTCATTTCTACAATGGGAGAGGGCCATATCAAGCAGTTGAACCTTAAAAGCTGAAGAAGAAATGCATAATGCTCTCAACATTCAAATTGTTGTAATAAGGCCAGTATTTCTATGAAATGACAATAATTATCGTGCATTATTTAATAGTAGGAAATCATTCCGTGCAACTTACTTTCCTCTCTCGATTATTTCACCTTCCTTGAGGACAAGAATTTCATCTGCATGAATGATCGTGGAGAGCCTGTGTGCTATAATAAGTGTAGTCCTATTCGCACACACGCGAGCTAACGCCGCCTGCAAAGAATTATGTTACTATATTATGTTCATATTTATAAAAGAGCTGGACTACTTTGTCAATAAAAAAGGATGTGTCCCTGAGAGCCCCCATTACTGTACAAAAACAAATTTCTATGGCACTGAAAGATCAATTGGAGTATCGTTTCATATTTTGTATAATAAGGTTCTATTATTTTGTTTAACCTCCTCTTTGCTCTAACGGGGGGATCACGTGCGATCTTTTTCTATATAAAAACATAATGTGCTTTTTTTAAACAACTTATGTTCATAATAAATAAATTTGAATTTAATATTTTTTCGCTCCTTGAAGTTAAGAGAGTCGGTGAACGTTAAGGGAGATAGGAGCAATAACTGAGCAATCATAAATTAAGTCGATCGAATTGATTAATATTAATCAATCTATTTAATTATAAAGTGTACTGAAAATTTTCGTATGCAACAATGACATATCTCTGACAATAAGACAAAACTAAAAATAATTTGTGTGTTGGACATATTATTTTCAACTATTATGGTGTATATGTATATTTATATGTCTTTTATATATTATTTTGATTATATACTTTAATTTAATACATATTGCATGCTAAATTTAATTATTAATATTTAATGTGCCTTTTATTGTTATTTACACTTTAGAAGTTTTATATTCGATCTTCACATGCAACGCTCACTTCATGTCTAGATATATTATCGAATTGTAATAAAGCCAAGAGGGCTAGCCAGGAGACCCAGAGCACAGGGTAATCTAGTCTGTGCTCCTGTCTTCCAAAGCAACTTAAAATTCGTAAACTATTTATTAAAGAAATGTCACTGTGTAAAAGTGGGAGAAATAAATGTTTATTATTATTAAAAAAAAAAACTATTGTTAAATTCAAACCCGCAGCTTTACAAGCAAAGCAGGTCAAATATTGAGTAATGTGGTTTATAGTTTTTATTAATTACTCACCTGAATATTTCTTTCCGTGTTTGTGTCTAAGGCGGATGTGGCTTCATCTAATAGCACTATCGCAGGGTCCTTGAGCAAAGTCCGCGCAATCGCTATTCTTTGCTTTTCACCGCCACTGAGACGAAGACCTCTTTCTCCCACCTTTAAAATTAAAAAGATTTGTTTAAAATAATTCATATTTCCTAGTAAATTAACACAACAACAGTCAGAATTCTCTTGAAATTACCATAAACCGTAGCCGATAACAATTTGAGGACAATGACGAATCTAACGACATCTCGCTCTTCAGATTCGTCAATAAGTTAAGGCTACAGGAGTAGACTAGATTTAAAGTTACGTCTGTGCTAATACAAAATTTTAAAACTGTTTTTAAAGAAAATTATGCATTTTATTATTTGAGTGTGGAGCATTATTGTTCATGTACTTTTGTAATAATATTAGAAATTCATTGATGTCCCTCCTATAGAACTTAGGTACCAAGGTAGTAGGTAGGTATATTTTATTTTATGTAATTTAATGTATTTGTAACATATTATATACAGTAGGGCCTCGATAATCCGAACACACAAAATTTACACCCTGTTTGGATGAATGAGGCGTTCGGATTATAGTATGTAGATACGAGGGCGGCACTGAAAATTTCGGGAATCAAGGAAGTGACACAACATTACTATTTAAAAATGTATTTATTGCTTTTCGAAGTATGCTCCGCGAAATTTGACACATTTTTCCATACGATGGAACCAATCATTGAAGCAACCATTCCATTCGGAAGTTGGTTCCATTCGGTTTCCAAAATGGCCGTTTTGTAGGCGTCCACAGCTTCTTCAGGTGATGAAAATCTCTGTCCACGCAATTTATTCTTTATTTTAGTGAAAGTATAGAAATCATTAGGGCTTAGGTCGGGGCTGTACGGCGGATGGTCTAATAATTCTATGTTTTCTTGCTCTAAAAAGTCTTTTGTACTGTGTGCGGTGTGAGAACTCGCATTGTCGTGATGGAGGATGATGCGGCGGTTGCAGTTCTCTTTACGGAGTTCAGAAACGACCTGTGGCAAACAAATGCTAGCATACCATTCTGCATTAACCGTTCTTTGTCCCTCAAGAGAAATAGTCGTAACATGGCCGGTTTTGGAGACAAACGTGGCCGCCATTTTTTTTGCAACACTCCGTGAACGAACAATTTTTGTTGGCTTTAACTCATTTTTGAACACCCAAACTCGTGACTGGTTTTTTGTTTCTCCGTACGCGTATATCCAGGATTAGTCACCTGATACGTTGTTGTATACAGCATTTGAGGATCCTGCGTGGATCTTTCGAGAGTTCTGACGCACCAAGTAACGCGAGCCGCTTTTTGCTCTTCACAGAGCGAATGCGGTATCCATCGGGAAAACAACTTTTTTACACCTAATTGTTCATGCAAGATTATTTGTATTTGACTCATGCCAATGTCTAAAGTTGCCTGAATTTCGCGGTATGTCACATGTCGATCTTCCTCAATCAGCTTACGCACAGTATCAACGTTTTCTTGGGTGACTGCAGTTTTTGGACGACCTTGACGGGGACCATCACTGAGCTTGACACGTCCACGTTGAAATTCACCAAACCAGTGATAAATTGTGGTTTTGGATGGCGCTTCATCACCAAATGCAGAAATCATCCGGTCAACACACTGTTTTTGTTTTAAACCACTTCGAAAGTCATAATAAATCATCGCTCTTGAATTTTCTCGAGTCAATTCCATTTTCTCAACGACTAAACAAGTTTGACAAAACCTTGTGACAAGACCGAGAATCTTTTTTTTAAATAAATAAATGGTATTTGATTTTTAAAACCAAGGACTTTTCAATTAAAAAAAATTTAATATGACAGGAACAGTGGAAATATTCCATTCCCGATACTTTTAGTGCAGCCCTCGTATTTCAATAGGTGTTTTTTGAAATGAAACAGATTTTTATAATGGAAAGTGAATACAAATCATTAAGTATTATTACACTTACGCAATAACATTTTTTCTGAATTATAAATATCTACTTCAACAGGAGGTCGTTCGGATTATAGAGGCGTTCGGTTTATCGGGGGTTCAGATTATCGAAGCTCTACTGTATACAATTACGCTACCTGCACTCGTTCTGCATATAAATTTTAACTATGTCAAATCACACACTCCTTTGTGCGCACATTATGCTTAAAAAGGGGTACAAAGTTTTCTTTTAATATATTAATATATAAATAAATATAATTTTTTAACATACTACGTATTTAAACTTGACTAAAATATAAAAATCAGTTCACCTAGTTCTAAGCAGACTTATTGCTATAATTACTGCAATAGATACTGTCATCTAATTCTACGCTATTTTTAAAGTTACAAGTCTCTGATTTACTAAATGTCTAACTTCCCGATGTGCGTAAAGTTAGAGTAGGTTCGTTTGCAAAATTTATGGTAAATAGACAAACAATCAAATAGACGAGTCATCATTGTCATCCCCTTCTGATACATATTTTAAGTTTAAAGTCTAGCTCATCAGGAAGTAAATTTAAAATCAATTGCAAAATTTGCACCAAACAAACAGACAAGCGAGTTATAAAAACGTGTTAAAATGGACTTAAATGAATAATATTCAAGACCTGGAAAGTTTCTGTAATTTTGTGATAGTTAGTAGTAAGAGGCGACTTAGGGAAATGAAACTAAGGTGGGCAGGAGCATCTTCTTGGTAACAACTCAAAATAATTAAAGACTGCAGAATTGCTAACCCGTTTAGCAAGCTTGGCAACGTGACAAATATAAACCCCCCACCTCCTACCCCCATGAGGCAATTTATGGGGGAGGCCCATGTTCAGCAGTGGACTTTTAATCAATGTATTAAGAATGCTTGAACTTGAACAATCTAATTGACAACATCAGACCTCCCCCCTATGAGGCAATTTATAGAGAAGGTTCAGAAGTGGACTTTTGGTGAATGTAATGAAGGAATGAATGAATGAACTTTAATCACCTGATGTACAAAACTAGATAAATACCTGCGTATCATACGCATCTGGGAACGTCAAGATACGGTCATGTATATCCGCATTTTTAGCAGCTGATATAACGTCAGCGATTGGTGCATCCAGGCGCCCGTACTGTATGTTATACCTAGAAAAAAAAAACTAGTTTAAAAAGGAATGTTAATATAAGTATTAATATATTGTTCATATTTTTTTTAAATTACAGTTAATACAATTACATTAAGTCTCAGGTTTAGACCAGTCAGTGTCAATACAGAAATTCAGCGGAAATATGCAAACTGAAAAGAAAGTTATGGAATTTGACAACAAAGGTCAAATTTCATTGTGAAATCGACTCTTATATATTTTTATATAGTTTAAGCCGGTGACTATCAATAAACCAGGTTTTATAATGAGACGGATAAAATTTTTGCTATATGTACTGCAAATTAGACCCTTATGTTCACCCTTTTATTCTATTAAAATCTGCATATTAACATAAAGGCTGAAATGACAACTGTCCAAAAGATACTTCAAATCGATAAAAGCATCCGCTTTATGTACTTGATAATCCAGCACATTACCAGAACAGTTCTTTTTTTACAAGTTTGACGAATCTGCCAAACGGAAAGTATGTAATAGAGAAGAATATTATATAGTAAAATTATATTCTTAATTAAGTTCGACGACTTTTTTGATCAGGTCAAGAATTGTCAAGCGGCACTGGATAACAATTAATAATATAACCCCAATAATAACCCCAATTTTCGTTTTCCTTATCACGTTATGGAAAATTATATAAACACTATATTAGAACTATAGTTATTACAATATCATCATCATCATCATCATTACAGCCCTTCACAAGTCCACTAATGATCATAGGCCTCCCCAAGGGATGCCACAAAGCACGATCCTGAACCACCTGCATCCATCGACTTCCTGTATGTCTCTTACCAGGTCGTCACTCCATCTAGCGGGGGTTCACTCTACATTTCGCCTACCAGTACGAGGCTGCCACTCGAGAATCTTTCTTGCCCATCGGTTGTCGGTTCTTCGAGCTATATGGCCGGCCCATTGCCACTTCAGCTTACTAATCTGTTGGGCTATGTCAGTCACTATGGTTCTACTGCGGATACCTTCATTTCTAAGTTTGTCACGCAGAGAAACCCCGAGCACAGCTCTCTCCGTAGCTCGAGGAGTGACCTTGAGCTTCCCCATACGGCAAGCAGTGAAGGACCACGTCTCAGATCCGTAAGTCATCACTGATCAATCGTTAATAAATTTAAAATAAAAAAAAAAACTACGAAACAAAGAGCTGATGATCTTCGAACGTCTGAACTGTTTCTTGAAACTCTTAGCTAAGTAGACTATTGATTAAGAAAACAAAAACAAAAAAAATCTTAATCAAAATCGGTTCGTCCGTTCAGGAGCTATGACGCCACAGGCAGACACAGATACACAGCTATATACATAGATACACAGATACGCACTACAAACTTATAACACCCCTCTGTTTTCGTCGGGGGTTAAAAGTAGTTTATTATTAAGCTCAGGTTGAAACTAGAGTCCGATTTAACGTCTCATTCGACCAACTTAGTCAGACCTATGGTCAACCCAAAGAGTATAGTAGGTCAGGCCAAGGACAATATTATTTTTAATACATAGGCTGCACTAAAAGTATCGGGAATGGAATATTTCCACTGTTCCTGTCATGTTAAAATCTTTTTAATTGAAAACTCCTTGGTTTTAAAAATCTAATACCATTTATTTATTTAAAAAAAGATTCTCGGTCTTGTCACAAGGTTTTGTCAAACTTGTTTAGTCGTTGAGAAAATGGAATTGACTCGAGAAAATTCAAGAGCGATGATTTATTATGACTTTCGAAGTGGTTTAACACAAAAACAGTGTGTTGACCGGATGATTTCTGCATTTGGTGATGAAGCCCCATCCAAAACCACAATTTATCACTAGTTTGCTGAATTTCAACGTGGACGTGTCAAGCTCAGTGATGATCCCCGTCAAGGTCGTCCAAAAACTGCAGTCACCCAAGAAAACGTTGATGCTGTGCGTAAACTGATTGAGGAAGATCGACATGTGACATACCGCGAAATTCAGGCAACTTTAGACATTGGCATGAGTCAAATACAAATAATCTTGCATGAACAATTAGGTGTAAAAAAGTTGTTTTCCCGATGGATACCGCATTCGCTCTGTGAAGAGCAAAAAGCGGCTCGCGTTACTTGGTGCGTCAGAACTCTCGAAAGATTCCATGCAGGTTCCTCAAATGCTGTATACAACATCGTATCAGGTGGCGAATCCTGGATATACGCGTACGAACCCGAAACCAAAAACCAGTCACGAGTTTGGGTGTTCGAAAATGAGTTAAAGCCAACAAATATTGTTCGTTCACGGAGTGTTGCAAAAAAAATGGTGGCCACGTTTGTCTCCAAAACCGGCCATGTTACGACTATTCCTCTTGAGGGACAAAGAACGGTTAATGCAGAATGGTATGCTAGCATTTGTTTGCCACAGGTCGTTTCTGAACTCCGTAAAGAGAACTGCAACTGCCGCATCATCCTCCATCACGACAATGCGAGTTCTCACACCGCACACAGAACAAAAGAGTTTTTAGAGCAAGAAAACATAGAATTATTAGACCATCCATCGTACAGCCCCGACCTAAGCCCTAATGATTTCTATACTTTCCCTAAAATAAAGAATAAATTGCGTGGACAGAGATTTTCATCACCTGAAGAAGCTGTGGACGCCTACAAAACGGCCATTTTGGAGACCCCAACTTCCGAATGGAATGGTTGCTTCAATGATTGGTTCCATCGTATGGAAAAATGTGTCAAATTTCGCGGAGAATACTTCGAAAAGCAATAAATACATTTTTTAATAGTAATGTTGTGGATTAAGTGATTCCTTGATTCCCGAAATTTTCAGGGCCGCCCTCGTAAAGGTAAATATAAAGAGACATTTTGCTAGTTAATTTTACTATGTTCTTATCCAAAAATAAAAATAAATATCAACAATTAAAATATCGAATTATTTGTATGAAGGTCAAGTGAGGGCGAGTGAGAAAACGATTGCAAGACTTTGTCGATGAATAAAATGTTTTGAGAAGTCATCAATTACCGTGTAGTGACGGTGTATGAATATCCACACCATCCTGTGGGTCTCGTAAGAGGCGACTAGACTTGGGGTTATTTTTAAATAACCGTGACCGTCGTTCCGGTTACCAAAAAGTGTTCTTGAAGAGCACGGTGTCTTGCGGCACATTACACACGACGCGTGACATACTGTGACGATATGGGGCACAAGTAAACTACCGCAGTTAACGTGGCACTGACCGCACGGTGTTATTGAAGAGCACGGTGTCCTGCGGCACGTTACACACGACGCGTGACATACTGTGACGATATGGGGCACAAGTAAACTACCGCAGTGAACATGGCACTGACCGCACGGTGTTATTGAAGAGCACGGTGTCCTGCGGCACGTTACACACGACGCGTGACATACTGTGACGATGTGGGGCACAAGTAAACTACCGCAGTGAACATGGCACTGACCGCAAGGTGTTATTGAAGAGCACGGTGTCCTGCGGCACGTTACACACGACGCGTGACACACTGTGGCGACATGGGGCACAAGTTAACTACCGCAGTGAACATGGCACTGACCGCACGGTGTTGTTGAAGAGCACGGTGTCCTGCGGCACGTTACACAGGACGCATGACATACTGTGACGACATGGGGCACAAGTCAACTCCCGCAGTGAACATGGCACTGACCGCACGGTGTTGTTGAAGAGCACGGTGTCCTGCGGCACGTTACACAGGACGCATGACATACTGTGACGACATGGGGCACAAGTCAACTCCCGCAGTGAACATGGCACTGACCGCACGGTGTTGTTGAAGAGCACGGTGTCCTGCGGCACGTTACACAGGACGCATGACATACTGTGACAACATGGGGCACAAGTCAACTCCCGCAGTGAACATGGCACTGACCGCACGGTGTTGTTGAAGAGCACGGTGTCCTGCGGCACGTTACACAGGACGCATGACATACTGTGACGACATGGGGCACAAGTCAACTCCCGCAGTGAACATGGCACTGACCGCACGGTGTTGTTGAAGAGCACGGTGTCCTGCGGCACGTTACACAGGACGCATGACATACTGTGACGACATGGGGCACAAGTCAACTCCCGCAGTGAACATGGCACTGACCGCACGGTGTTGTTGAAGAGCACGGTGTCCTGCGGCACGTTACACAGGACGCATGACATACTGTGACGACATGGGGCACAAGTCAACTCCCGCAGTGAACATGGCACTGACCGCACGGTGTTGTTGAAGAGCACGGTGTCCTGCGGCACGTTACACAGGACGCATGACATACTGTGACGACATGGGGCACAAGTCAACTCCCGTAGTGAACATGGCACTGACCGCACGGTGTTGTTGAAGAGCACGGTGTCCTGCGGCACGTTACACAGGACGCATGACATACTGTGACGACATGGGGCACAAGTCAACTCCCGCAGTGAACATGGCACTGACCGCACGGTGTTGTTGAAGAGCACGGTGTCCTGCGGCACGTTACACAGGACGCATGACATACTGTGACGACATGGGGCACAAGTCAACTCCCGCAGTGAACATGGCACTGACCGCACGGTGTTGTTGAAGAGCACGGTGTCCTGCGGCACGTTACACAGGACGCATGACATACTGTGACGACATGGGGCACAAGTCAACTCCCGCAGTGAACATGGCACTGACCGCACGGTGTTGTTGAAGAGCACGGTGTCCTGCGGCACGTTACACAGGACGCATGACATACTGTGACGACATGGGGCACAAGTCAACTCCCGCAGTGAACATGGCACTGACCGCACGGTGTTGTTGAAGAGCACGGTGTCCTGCGGCACGTTACACAGGACGCATGACATACTGTGACGACATGGGGCACAAGTCAACTCCCGCAGTGAACATGGCACTGACCGCACGGTGTTGTTGAAGAGCACGGTGTCCTGCGGCACGTTACACAGGACGCATGACATACTGTGACGACATGGGGCACAAGTCAACTCCCGCAGTGAACATGGCACTGACCGCACGGTGTTGTTGAAGAGCACGGTGTCCTGCGGCACGTTACACAGGACGCATGACATACTGTGACGACATGGGGCACAAGTCAACTCCCGCAGTGAACATGGCACTGACCGCACGGTGTTGTTGAAGAGCACGGTGTCCTGCGGCACAACGCCGATGTTGGCGCGCAGCGAGGCCTGCGTCACAGTGCGCACGTCCTGCCCGTCCACCAGCACGGCGCCTTCGTTCACGTCGTAGAACCGGAACAGCAGTCGCATCACCGTTGACTTGCCTGCACCGCTGGGCCCCACCTGGACGAAATGCATATCTTTATCTCGTAACAGTCCACTACTGAAAATAGAGCTGGACCATGAAGCAAATACAAAGAGGTGTTGTAATTAGATTTCACTATAACGCGTGACAATTTGCGGGATGTTAAGCCCCGCCCACTTTACACTATCTACATCTACCGATAAATAGTAAACTACTCGAATCGTTCCATATCGATGTTGCAATATAGTTTAGCTACCTTGACCATAAGTGGCGGCCTGTTCACAAAATTATTATAAACTAGAAAAATAATATTTTGGCGATTACGACCTTCGTATCATCATTGTAGAAGCGTGCTCGTCGCGACCCCTGCCAGCCCTTTTCAGGGCTGCAATTCTACTCAGCTGCGCACCCATGCCAACGAGGGTTAGGGCGTCCCCCCAAGGCGACGCACACCAACTCGTCCCCGTTGGTGTGGAATGCAGCGCGCAAAGCGGCGATGGGGACCGCCACCCGTCACGCACAGCCCGACACGGCGGAAGGTGGAGGACAGAGTGCAGAGTTGGCACGTGGAATGTTAGAGGAGTCATGAGAGATAAGACGAATGAGTTGATCGAAATAATGAAAGAAAGAGAATTAGATGTCGTGTGTATGTCGGAGACCAAACGGAAGGGTAGTGGTACTGAAGAGCTCCCTGGCGGGGCGTTAGCTCTATGGTCCGGAGTCCCGGAGAGCGAGAACGCCTGCCAGGGAGTGGGGGTGCTGCTGTCTTCTCGGTTGGTCGATGTTATGACTGAATATAAGTTTGTGAACTCAAGACTTCTCTGGGTTCGCTTTAAATTGGGACTGACGAAGTTATTCCTTTTGGCTGTTTATGCGCCGGTAGCTTCGTCGTCCAGGGCTGAGCTGGAGGAGTTTTGGGAGAATGTAAGAGAAGTTCTAGATTTGGCTAGGGGAAACGAAAGAATTGTTGTATGTGGTGATTTGAATGGATGGGTTGGTACCGCTCGACCAGGGTACGAGTCGGTACTTGGAAAGTTTGGCGATAAAAGGGTAAATGATGCTGGCAAGCTTATACTGGCGGTATGCAAGGAAAAGGGTCTTCTTGTGACAAACACTATGTTTAATCACAAGAAAATCCATATGTATACTAGAGAAAGAAAGAATGAGAGAAGTATGATCGATTTGTTCCTGGTGGATGACCGACTGCGAAAACAGGTTATGGATACGCGAGTGTTCAGGGGTGCTGACCTGGGAACGGATCACTATCTAGTGATTACTAGATTTAGGGGTCTGTTCGCGGGTTGGCGCTACCGGACGGCAGTGACAGAACCACAGTCGGTCTGTCGCATCCGAAGCTGGAAGCTTCAGGAAGCGGATACTAGGTACAAATATCATGCGAGGGTGCCGAAAAGCTTGACACCATCGATGGCAGAAACGAATGTGTAGAAAGAACATGGCAGAACCTTAGGGATGGAATGGTAAGTGCAGCGGAAGAAGTGTGTGGAACAATAAAAAGAGGCAGTAGTAAAAGAAGAGATGCATGGTGGAATGATGAAGTGAAAGAAGCTGTAAAGAAGAAGAAGAAAGCATGGTTAGACTACTTGGCCTCTAGTAATGATAAGGATATGAGAGAGAAGATGAAAGAAAGATAAAGGTTGCAGAAAGTTCACACGAAAGCATTGATTGAGGAAGTGCGTGAAAGGTGTAGAATGGAAGCGGACGAAAGGTTGTCGCACAACTTTATGGAGAACTCCAAACTCTTCGGGAAAGAGGTTGGAAGGACCCGAAGTGGTGCGACGGCCTTAAGAATGAACAAAGTGCTTTCGAGAACTAATGACGTCCTCTCAGAAAAATCGGACGTCATGCAGCGATGGAGCGAATTTTATAGAGAAATGTATGCGTGTGATGATCTTAGTGAGGGATCCGGGGATGACGCCGTGACTGGTACGCCAGACCCGGACCTCGATGACACTGAGGTCATCAGTATGAAAGAGATTGAACGTGCGATTCGAAGTTTGAAGTGTGGTAAGGCTGCGGGACTAGACAGAGTTACTGCTGAAATGGTCAAGTATGGTGGGCCTCGCGTCTGGGACAGCTTTCATCTGCTGTGCAATTTGTGCTGGCGGACGGGGGATGTCCCGGATGATTGGCGATCCGCAGTCATTGTGCCTTTATATAAAGGTAAAGGTTCACATTTTGACTGTGGGTGCTATCGGGCGATCAGCTTGACCAGTTTAGCAAGTAAAGTTTACTCGAAGGTTTTGACACGTAGGATGCAAGAGAAATAGGAAAGATTTCTATGGGAGGCATAATGAGGATTTAGACTCTACGGTGGCTAACCGCCAATTGGCGGTTAGCCACCGTAGAGTCTATATCACCTGAGGATGCCTCGTGTAGAGGCGAAACACGTGTCGTATTATCGTCAGTGGTGTGTCTTGCCTAGTGTAGTGGTGTTGGGAGTAGCGGTGTTGGGATTAGTGGTGACGGGGATAGTGCACGCAATTGAGGGAGGGCGGGAGGTGCTTCTTCATACTACGTAAGACACATCATTTTATTTTATAACGCGGATATTTGCGAAGTAAATTTTTGTAAAAGCTTTTATATAATGGATTTCCGCAAAGTAACGCCTGATTCTATTAATTATATTTATGTTTTTAGTTCACATGACACAAAGTGTCGCCATCTAGTGTCGAATATATTTAATTATATTTGAAAGCCGACGCAAAGAGATTATTCTAGAAATATTTTAATAAATTAGGAGTAAAATTACTTACAAATGAAATGTGATGCCATTCATAGCATCTGAGCGTCTATTTAAGTAGTTTTTACACGATAAAATACAAGACTTCATCCTTTTCTTCTTAATACTACGAAAATACACCGATTTGCGATTTGCTTATGTGTTATAAGCGCACAGGACGAATGCTGACAGTATACTAACTAAAGCAACGCCCACTATGATGACGTCAGGACCTACTTAAAATCACAGTGCACAGTTGCTTATGCCGTGTCCCCTTTGTATTTGCATCATGAGCTGGACTGACTGTAGTAAGGATTTGCCGTAATCATCCCGCTTGGTACGCAGTAACTACATTACCAAACGTTTTACATCTTTGTCGGTGTTTTCGCCGAACACACTGAATATTTTTCTCATCTTATATGAGATGGTTTTGTCGAAATTTATAAATACATCCCGTATTTAAAATATAAATATGATTACAAATATAATGTATTATATTTGTTCTGACGGTTGGTGTCTTCGATGTATTATGTTTTATTTCTAATACAAGAGAGTTTCGTTCAGTTTTTCTTCACCTCAGTTTCGTTTCAGTTAAAACCACAGAGACAAATGTGGTGTCTTTTCAAAATTACGCTCTTCTCCTCTTTGTTCGTCTCAGCAGAAACGCATATTCAGTAGAGACGTCACCAAATCAAGGAAAAACAATATCGATATAGCAATAATTACCAGCGCGACAGTAGAGCCAGGCGCGACTCTGAAGCTAACGTTGTTAAGCACGAGCCTCTCGGGCCCGTAGCCGAAGGAGACGTGCTTGAACTCGATGCCGCCATGTCGCACGGCTAAATCGGGCGCGCCTGGCGCGTCGCGCACGTCCGAGTCTACGCGCATCAGGTCGAACATGTTTTCCATGTCCACGAAGTTCTTCTGGATCGCTCTGTTAAAAAATAAGAACGTTCTTTATACGGTTACTAACGAGCACACAAGATCAGTGGACCTGATAGTATGAACCTTGACGACAACAAACAGAAAGCGGGCTCTGTCGATTCAGATACGAAACTGCCAAATACTATGATAGTAATCATGGACACAGGTTTATGAAGAAGTTTTATAAAGAAAGGTTTTCGTTAATTATTAAGTGAATCGTGCTTTTTCTTCTTTATTAGCCAGAAAAGGTTCACTACTGGCTTTTCCTGACGAGATGTTAATCGTATGCTAATTTTTTTCATATTTTGTATTGTTTTTAGTATGTAGAGTGTGCTTTCATTGCTCTCGCAAGAGAAAGCACAGTCAACCTGATAGTGACACTGATGCTGTAGCTTATAGACACCTACTTCTATCATCTAGTAAAAATCAGATGCGTTGTCTACGCTGGGAACTAACAACTATTAAAATAAAAGTTTGAGTTTGTATTGAATATTATCACGTTAAACGTAATTAATGACTTATTAAACTTGCCAATCTATTAATTAAATATCAAGGAACGTAGCTATAACGTATTTTATTTTTAATCAGATAAAGAAAGTTGTATATTCCTGTAGCAATCCTCTGAACTTGATACCCGTTCAAATCTTAACTATTTTATCGACAAAGCCGAATACCTCGAACGTCGTTTGGAGAACTTTGTCACTTTTCACATTTATGTTTTTGGTGGGATCGCCTTCAGTAATTCAGTCGTTAGTAACATTAGAAGTCATAATAATGTTATAAATTATTTACCTGTAATATGTGCCGAACCAATTCAATGGCACATAGAGCTGTATGATATAAGATGCGAAAAGTACATAATCACCAATGGTTAGATCTTGTGTATTTACAACCTTAGACACAGCCAGTAATGACCCCGCCAAGAGCCCTGTAAATATAAACAACTTTTATAAACATTATATAAATACATTTTAATTTTAGGTTAGAACTACGTAAGGCCTACCTACGGTTATTACGCATGCCGATAAGGGGTTCGAACTCATACAAATTTTTGGACTTTTTTTATACTGCATCTAGTGTACATGCACGCGACGCGACGCGACGCGACGCAACGCAATACTATATACGTGATATCGTACAAAATCGTCGTACCAATATCTAAATGAATTCTTATTAATAATATTTATAATCTTTCAAGTGTGCGACGACCAAATCATTTTTTTTATAAGATATGGATGACAAGCGATCACCCAGTCCACCTGATGGTAAGTGGTCACTGTGGGCCATAGACACCTACATCTATCCTTGTTTGCGAGTTAAAATGCAGATACGTTGTCAGCCGTGAGGACTAAGATGGAATGCCTCTATTCCAGTAAAAAGGTAAGGTCTCCGGTACTCTACACTCACCATACGAAACACAGCAGCATTAATCTGCTATTTTACGCTGGTATTCTGTGAGATTACCAGCGTAAAATAGCAGAAATTCGGCTAAAACCTTATTGCTTATATATGTAGTTAAAAATCGATATATAACTTTAAATAAACACATGTACGAAAGAAAACACAATATTATTTTCATAAAAACTACGGCAAGACTATCATACTATCTATAAATAAACAACAAAGCGTGAAAATCGAGCATCACAGTTAATCAACACTGAATATTTGTTTATTTTCTTATCTGTTTCTTTTTTTATATTTAGTACTAAGGACCCGGCTCGGCTTTACCTGGATAGCATTTTATGTGTCTAATGTGGTATAATTTAGATTTAAGATAATCAAAGACTTATTAAATCATTTTTTTTTATATAGTTATAATCCTCTAGTTTTTCGGATAAAATAGTATAGATCCCTTTAGCTAATCTTGATTAGGCCAGACAGACAGACAGACAGATAAACGGACAGACAGACAGACAAAACAATTAAAATTTTTATTTGTGTCATAATAGCATGCACCGAACCCCCTAAGCCTAATAATTTATTTCAATATTACAGACGGACACTTAAATTTTATTTATATGTATAGATGATTGTGACAAACGAGCTCATAGTCCACTTGTTGTATGCTAGTTGATGCTGTGGTCCTAGACAACATCTATTCTTGATTAAAAATTAAAATGTAGATGCGTTGCCAGCCCTGAGGAATAACATAGAATGTCTCGTCGGTTTCTGGTTATAGAGTCCCGAGTGTTGAGACACTTACCCCACGATACACAGTTTTACGCTGGTATTCTGAGAACGTGGTCCTTTCACGGTCGGTGAACCCATTCGTGCAGCACCCATAATATAGTCTGTATAAAAGTAGATTAATTAACTGATAAAAGAAGTAATCACTAACCTCCACAGATTATAATATTTTGTATTGTGTTTAGCATGTTGAGTGTTAGTAACGATTTAAATTCTTCTTTCTGAAAAGTAAAATATTAGGTTTTTATTATTGCTATTATCTATTACCGATTCCTGTCTGTATGTTGAACTAAGGCTGAGATCTATAGACCGTACTTCTACTCTGCTCAGACTTTACTTACGAAAAACTTAGCTGAGTACATGCTTAGCATAATCTTTGATTCTGAATTTGTAGTTGTATCAGGCTAAGATTAAGCTAAGCTTATGCTACAGCCCAGACAGTCATAAAAATAATGGATGCTTCATCACACATTGTGTGCTTGATTTTACTGTATAAAATAAAACAAAATAATATTTAAAAATCGAAAACAGTCCAAATTATATTTCATAAATAAGTTATTATTACATGAGATAGAAGACGGGGGTGTGAGAACGGCAACGGATGAGAAGAGTGCAAAATCAGAAAGAAAAGAAGATTTTAAGAAATTCTAAATAACTTTGAAATTACGTAAATAGAAAATAGGATTCATGTTATTTAAAACTAAAGGACGGCTTATAACTACTTATTAATTGGTATAAATAATTAAAGTAACATAAAAACAACAATTTGTAATTAATACGGTGGTTTTTGGATAAAATCTGTATATAGTGCTTTTTTAAAAAAAAGTCCCGCTGGGTTTCTTGCTAGTTCTTCCCAGGACAGAGGTTTTTTTGCGAACCAGTGGCAAAAGTAAAACAAATGACTTTCAATAAATATTATGTAATCTATATTGAATAAAATGATTCTATTCTATTCTATCCTGAGTTTTACGTAAGTCGTCGATTTCGTTCACTTAGGCTTTGCTAAGCGCGCACTCAGCACGACTTCGAAATTAGCTCTAATAATAGCGACATTGTCTTAGCTCGAAAGTAAATTTTGATGAAAGCCAAAGTACGTTCTATAGATCTCAGCCTAAGAGTTCAATCATAAATTTAACTGAGCATTCTTCATAGCTTTCAGCAGGATATCATTAGACCGACACAATTACTAAAATTCATACTTTATTCATAAAGCGGAAAACACGTCAATGTCTTTATTCTGTTTTGGGCACAATTATAGTATAAAATAAAAGTAATAAATTATTTACTAAGTTGTGGCATTTGACGTAGGATATTTGGTAGCCGAGTTAGAAAACACTTTTCTTTCATTATTAATCATCATTATTACAGCTTAACCTAAGTCCACTACCGAACACAGGCCTCCCCAAGGATTGGCACAAAACACGGTCCTGAGCCATCTACATCCATAGATGTCCTACATGTCTCACCGGGTCGTCACAGCATCTACTGAGGCCCTTTTCCGTTTAGCCGTACGAGGTGAACACACGGCAGTCGCCGGGTAATAGCCATTTCAGCTTACTGATCGTCCGTTACTTGAGTTTTACTACAGGTATCTTCGATACATATTCTATAACGCAGAAACTCCTAGCATAGCTCTCTTTATAGCTCAGTGAAATACTTTGAACTTTTTAATTATACAGCCAGTAGTGAAATTCTCCTCCACTTTATCTTGTCTTATTATCGTCATCCTTATCAAAATAATACATAGTTCTTTGCAGGACATAATTCTACCGTTTAGCCGATTAAGAAGCTGTGATTTTTAACTATATTTGAGATAACAGGTATCCATACTTAAAAACAAAATTATGACGGACAACTATTTATAAGTACCTAATCGGTAATCATAATATGTGTTCAATTCATTTTTTGGGGGAGATCTATGTTTAGCAGAGGAAAAAAAAATTTGTAAAAGGCTGTAATGATGATGATGAAGTAATCAGTAAAAAGTCTTAAGAAAAAAAATGTTATTATAGTTGATATAAATAATTATTAACTCTATCGATACCTAAATATATGGTGTATAGTACAGCGTTATTTTTCAAAAAGTAGCCAGTTATTGCTGTTTTTGAAAATACGAGTAAATAAGGCTTCTACTTTTATTTGAAATGATCCCAAATTGAATGTGATTTATGGGCAACAGCTACGCGTACGCGCACTCCTCGTCGATTCAATTCACAGCGTTGTTGCCGACCCATAGGAATACGTGCGTGCGTAGTAAAATAGTAGGAGTTAGATATTTATGAATGACAATAAGTTAAAATAATGCATTACCATTACATTTTTTTTAATTAATTTTTCTTCACCATTAGCCTATATTACTTATTCTGAACCTTCTATGCTTTGGCGGGTTTTAATCCTTAAATTTTGTTTGCATTTTAATTGGTGAATGAAAAGTGCATATAATAACAAATTACTTGATAATTAACAATAGCCTCTCTATATGAGACTACTTCGTAGCCCTCAGCCCCATAATATTTGACCGTTTCGTAGTTCAGCAACGAATCAACAGAGCGCGCCTTCTGTTCATTGTCCGCGAGGTTCATACGACGCTGGAACTTCGTACGCCATTCCGTTACCATTATTGTCGCAACTAAAATAAACAAAGAGACATTAAAAATTAAAATTAAACAAAATCACTATACATTTTTGGCAAGTAAAGATTCATCAACGATCAAACGTTTCATGTAAAAATCACAATAATAATAATAACATATATTTTGCGGAAAAATATTTACTATAGTGTACAAATTACACAATTTAAAATAACAGACCTTAGCAGTGGACATTTTCTCAGTAAATTTGCAGGCTGGTGGAGAACATATTGCATCAAATTACTTAGTGTGCGAGTTCGATACCATTATAAATTACAATTTTAAATACGAATTTTTACTGAGTGTTCGACGGTGAAAAAAAATCACCTTGCGCGGCAGGTCTAAGAAATAAAAAACAATTTGGTGAACATGTAAAGTCCGCCCTAACACATTTTCTTCCGTGCTTCAATACAGTTTTAGTAATTAGAGAGAGATCTATGTTTTATAATTTATTCTACTATCACATTGTGTCAGACTGTGCAAATATAATCTACTTATAAAATTTCAATAATATAGTTCCTTAACTGTAAATAAGTTTTCGGACTCGATCTACTAGTTTTCTTACTGGTCTCTTAACCTAACCAAGTTAACTCCTATGACTACTTAAAAGTGCTGAATACTCACCAATATATAACACCATAGTGGAGAAAACGATTAATCCGAACCAGGCGTTGAACTGTGACACAAAGTAAACGACTGCCACCACAATGTCCACTAGTGTTGGTGTGATTGAGAACAGTATATACGATAGGAGATTGTCAATGGAGTCTGTACCCCGGTCCATCACTCTAAGGACCTCACCGGTCTTCCGTGATAGATGCCATTTGAGAGGTAAATCATGGAGATGTCTAAACAGCTCTAGCTGAAATAAAACAATCGTATTATTTAATTCAATTTTCATAACCAATTAAACATAGGTAAAGATTAAGGTAAAATTATTTATATACAAAATTGGCCTTCGTAAAGCACTTTTTAGAAATCAAGAAAGCTACGCCACGATTCAACAAGTCCGTATTGCGGGAGACCTTGCGAGAAGAAGTAGGAAGAAACTCACAAGTGCACTATTTTTCTGCCAACAGTTATAATTTACATAATATGTGAAGCGGAAGTTTTTGTGGTAATAGACCTGAGCCAAATAGTTTTTTTTTTACAGGATAGAGTGACAAACGAGCACACAATGCACCTGGTGGTAAGTGGTTGCTGTGACCCATAGTCATGCACATCTATCCTCAATAAAGAATCAAAATGCAGATGCGTTGTCACCCGTGAGGACTAAGATGGAATGCCCCTTTTCCAGTAAAAAGGGTCTCCGGTTCTCTACACTCACCATAAAAAACACAGCAGTGTTAAGCTGCTATTTTAGGCTGATATTCTGTTAGAGAGTGGTCCTTCCTCGGTCGAGCCGACCATTCGTGCTATAACTATACTACTAATATATCTGCAGCGTGCCTCTACCACGTATGATATTGTTACTGAAAGGATGAATGCAAACCACATTACCCTAAATAGAAAGGCGTACTACCGTAGCAAAGCCTATTCACTATTTCTTTCAAGACACACCCATGTAATCGGATGATAAGGTAGACGCTAGCATATTATACCATTTCTTTGCTGTATGCATTAGGAAAGACGAAGCAAACCATTTAGTTCGAACACGTGTTATGCCAAAAATAAAGGAGTAAAGACTCACAAACACAAACGTCTGGCAGTCCTATGGTGAAAGGGATAGGGAAAAATTAAGTCAAGTAATTCCTACGCACACATCCCAAAGTGTATCCTGGGGAGAACAAAGTTATTGTATCCATCATGGCTCAAATTATAATTTAATTTAGGTATTAGTGGTAGTAATTGAGGTAATCCGATTTCACAGGTTAACTATAATCCAATTGAATACGTAATTATTTCAAGCAGTTTATTTACTATCTGATGTAATTTGCAGGTGTTATTGTGTATTACGTGGTTTTACTACAAATATATAATTGTGAAAGCGAACGCAAATAAGACGAAAGTGATGGTTTTTATGGATGTATAATAATAATATATTATGTGAAATAAGAATAGAAGTGGAGTTAGTTGAGCAAGTGAATGAGTTTGTGTATTTAGGTTAGATTTATCGATTTATATAAAACTAATTTTAAAGATTTTATCGCGTATATTACTCGTAACTTATTTTATATTCTCGATGTTTCGTTTGCGTAGATCGGAACAAAAATTAATAATTTTTAATTTGGAGGTAGCCGTGGTTAACTATGACATCGGGACGTCATACACCTCATGCGTGAGCATGGGTGCTGTAAAGTGCTCGAAGCGTCGGAAATATACGCGATAATAAGTTAATATACGCGATAAAATCCGTAAAATTAGTTTTCTTTAAATGTGTAGTGTTCGCGTAAATATAAGAAATCATTAGATTTATCGATATTTAACAGGGATGGTAGACATGACAATAATATAAATAGACTCTATAATTTTCGTCAACGAATCCCCTTTCTCTTTAGCTTAGTGACTTAAATGTCTGCTTCCCCTTTTAATAATCCCGTCAAGGCATGTACGATTCCATTGTTACAATACATACAGTCTCCCGACATTAAACAATTTAAATTTCCTCCTGTTTATGGCGATGCGACCCGCAACACCTCTCTCTTTTTCTCTTTTTTTTATTTTTTTTAAAACATTACACGTTGCCTCTGCGATACAGGAGAAAATCCTACAATAGGAGTTTACAAACACAAATTGCACATGGACAAACATCCAGATCTCTGTCTATTAAATGTAACACTGTAAGTTACGAATGTGTTAGCAGAGTGATACTTGTTCCTATCAAGTGTCAAATTCTTTCCTGAGGATAGATCTAATAACTTCAGCTTCTTAAGTGGGGGCTTTAATACTTCTATACTACTTATATACACTATGTCTATTTTGTACACTATGACTTAGCCCTTTTACTTTCCAATAGATCGTGTACCAATCTGGTTTCCGCCCGAACTTTATTTTTCGACTCAGGAAATTTGCCTTTGCAACAACATAGATTTTCCAAATACTTCGCACCCTTTTCTGCATTTTATTTGATCCACGCACTTTTTTCTACCTTAAAAGTAAATTTTCTTTCGTTCGTGATGCATACATCTTCATTCCAATTATAATATTTCTCTCGCAGTCACTTTATATCGGTCTGGTTCACATTTTACTCTTTTGAAGGTCAAGCTAGAAGGTCGTTCCAAAGCCGTAAGCTTTGGAACGACCTTCTAACTTTATAAGAACGGTTTCGTTCGTAATATCTTTTAAGTAAGCGGTCACTAACTTTTTCCTCGACACTTCACTGCCCTAATTCTGATATCATATGTCTTATTGATTTTCCAACTTGTTACACGATATTCATATTAATAATATACGTAATATATCTAAGTACATATTTATCTATTTATTTAATAGTTTTATATATAAGATTATAATACACATACAGTGTATATGATATGTAAAACTGCCCTGTTCGATCCGAAAGGGCGTTCATCTTCGGCGATATTATCTTTGTGTATGGCCATATAAATTTTACCATTTCATTAAATTTTATTTGTAGTGATTTTTTGTTTTTTTTTTTCGATATAATATTTACTTTATTAGATTTAGTTTATTTACTTATTTACCAATGAATTAGAAAATTCATATGTAGTTATGAATCACATACTAAATACTATGAATCAAATACTTTTTGTGCAACAAAATTAAAATAAATAAATGAATAAATAGAAAGGAAAATGAATGATGGGGATCTTCGTGGGAAAAGGCATAATGTATGGTAGTGAAAGTTGGGTGAGGCAGAAGAAGCATGAGCTTTAGAAATACGGTCATTGAATAGGATTTTAGAGGTGATACTTAATGAAAGGTTGAGACGTTATGGTGACGTTATACTTATCACCTGATGCCCCACGCAGTATAACCGATTGATTATAAATGACTTGCGGAACAAAATTAATGACATTTATGAGCACGTCAGACAGACAGGCCAGCAAACGTCTGAGAAGATGAAAACACGGTATGACCGCAAAATGAACAACAAGGGGTTTGACGAAGGTTCACTAGTGTGGTTACACAATCCAGTTCGCAGCAAAGGGAAATCTCCTAAGCTTCAAGCTAAATGGGACGGACCATACCGGATTGTGACAAGGATCAATGACGTAACCTACCGGATACAGAAAAGTGCAAGAGTTACTCCTAAGATTGTCCATGTGGATCGACTGGCGCGTTATAATGGGGCCAATAATGCTCGGGATGAGCATGTCTTAGGAGGGAGCAGTGTTGCGCGCCACTATTAATGTCTTGTACATGGCAACACTAGTTACACTAGCGCCCTTTAGTGTCGAGTAAAAGAAAGTGTTGCGCGCCACTATTAATGTATTGTACATGGCAACACTAGTTACACTAGCGCCCTCTAGTGTCGAGTAGCAGAACTAAGAGAGTCAAGACCCTATCAGAAATTTCGGGACTGATATGTACTTGAACATTCTAGATGTCGCTACAGTAGAAGGTTCTGGAAACTATCTGAGGCCCTATATAAGGTCGGTATAGACCACGACCGGGGCAATATTGAATTGGCGATACAAGAGAATACTTCGAAGCGAAATAACTGCGAATTAAAGTGATCAGTAGTACAATTGTGTTTTATTATTAGTGTGGTTTTAGATTGTAATTAGTTTTGTGTAATTAAAGTGTCAATTTTGGTAATTCAATCGGCAGTTTTTAATTGTCTCGAACCCCAAGCTCGTAACAATAGTATAGGAACACATACGGAACAAAGAAATATTTATTTTTATATATATAATAAGTGTCAGGTACCTATATTATATTTAAAGATATCTATTTGTATCGACTCTTATGTTCGCTTCTTTTAAAACTATTTATAAGCTGATCAGTTCCCGAATCCCTACAAATGTTACTGTTTGCGAAGTATTATTTATTATAATTAAAAATTATGAATAGGCTACCTAAACTGTTTATGGTTTAATCATATAAAAAAGAAGAAATTCTGAAGTCGGAGCTAAGACGAAGAAGATGGAAGAATTAAAGCGGCGACTTCAAAAGCTATATATTGTAATTATTATATTACTTTTAGACCTTTAAAGTCGATTTTTACTTTTTATTAATAGTGTTTTCACCATTTGTACCCAGCAGTTAATTTTGTTAACAATTCGTAATGAATTTCAAATTTTAAAATAAATACAAAATACTACATAAATAGGGAATGAAGTTTTTTAAAGCAACAGATAATGTAATATCTGTTTCAAAAGTCAGGTGCTCAACTATAAAAGCAATTATGTGAAAATTATTTTATTATTTTTAGTTTTAAAATCCTGAGTTTACTTTTTCCGGGTACGACAACACTTTTAAAAGTTTTGGCGGTTTCTGCCTATAAAAGACGTAAGTAAAGGAAAAGATTATAATTACGGTTAAAGAAAGCTTCACTTTGTTTACATTACGATAATATTTGTTCGACACGTTGCGCGTTATCTGTGCCGTCATATGTAACCATGAACTTCCAGAATAAGTTTAGAGTTAAAACTCGCATGTTTTTGACTTTTTGATGAAGTGTACCGGATAATCGTTTCGTCTTTTCTTCATGTATGGTTGTTTTTATTAACATAGTTATATGTTTGTCTTATTAAAATATACATAATTTTCGGCAATAAATGATTATTAATCATAAATATAGTAATTAGAAATTTACAACCTCATTGTAAACAGTCACTCATAGGAGAAACATTAGTTTACTATTCATTATATAGTTACGGAACAAACTACCTACACTATTTTGGAATATTTTAAGTGGCAAACTAATAAACAGTCCACGTGAGAGCAAGTGGTTACAGCAGCCCATATAACCTGCAGCCAACTCCAAATGAAGATGTTCACAAATCCGGTTACAGCCTTGTACACTATGCGAAACCCCTTAATGACTGTAATTATATCTCCTTGGTTCTCTACTGTATGGCGGCAAAATTATAAAAGAAAATGGTACTTATCCAGGCAGACTTAGGCATAACACAGCCCTACCATTTAGTAAACTTAGTATTGAAGAAAATAAAAAAAACGTAATATTACCTGCAGCTCTCGCGTAGTGTATTGCTGTACTTTTATCCATAAGAATGATCGCAAATTGTTCAGGAGTCCCATCCCTCCGGTGCCTCCTCCTTGCAGGAATTTGAACAATACGTAAATAACGACCAGATCCCATCGGTAGTGTATCGGAGGTATGGATAAACTATCCACTGTAATCGGAAGTACAAGTTTAATCAACGTCTTCCAATATTAACAAATTACCGTCTATAATTTTAGATTTCCTAAGTGCGTTATCAATGCATTCTAAGTATAGTAAGTTCTAAATTGGTATGGCCTACAAATGATTGTTCCATGTCTCGATTTGTGTAAAATGCCTTCACATTATAGAAAAAAATCTATAATGGAAGTTATTTAGTGTTATTAGTTTGCTTTTACGAACTAATCAAGAATAAGGATAAGTCAGATGATTAAACATTTGCGTACAATATTCTCTGTTAGAAAATATTACAGGGGTTAGCTCAATTAATTTATCTATGCTATTTGGGTGCGAATTCATTAATACCTAATCAATATGTTTGCAATCAACATATGAAATATAAACAATTACATTACCTATTTTCTTGTTATAAATCGGTACATAAAGATTGACCGCGCGTCCAGCAACCAGCGCCAAGATGCATATTAGTACGTAAATCTGTAACTGCACACTCTTTCGGGGCCATAGGAACGGCAGCAGTGTGCGTAGTTTTCCAAAAACATTGCGGAACGTCGACCTGTTGTCATCCTGCGGGTAAGGGAAATAAATCATTTAATGCACGCTGTACTACATTTGGACACCGTAACAATACCTTCTTTATATCTTTCTTACTCGAAAGCAAAATTAAATAATTTTGATATGGACATGACATCTTAACCTACAACATGTGATTAATTAATCTGTTCCTTTTTCTTCTTTATAATCGTCTTTGGTAAGCAAAGAGTTTTATTATCAATTGCTTAATATTAATTAATATGTCTGCTAATTATTTTTATCGTTGTTATTACATTATAAGTACATTGCAGTTTAATGATTAAACTAACGTATGTCTGAGACTTTCGCTAAAATTATATTATACTTAGGAGTTATATTATTGTATTTTGCAATAAATCATGTCGGACAAATAGACAAAAATTCTAAAATTTGTGGTATTACTAGCTTCCACTCCATGCAAAACACCTTTTAAACAATTATTATAACAATTTGTAAATTAAATTTGTTTAATTTACAAATTCAACTGATGTTTAAGATCTAGCCGGGATTTCTTGACGAGATATTAGGAGACGTTAACCGTTAAACCCGTATGAAATATTATTATATTAGATTTATATGTAAATTTATAATAGATATAGTATCTTAGTATATCTGAATAAAATACAAGGTCTAGGACTACCGCCCACTTGAAAATTATTAGGAAGAAGGAAACCTTTGTTGAACGCAAGAGAAACTAGCTCTGCAATATAATATATACTAATTTAAAAATATGTATTATTATTATACGTTAATATACTGAATTCCAAACTCAAAATAAAGAAATATTTGCTCCTAAGTCCTTGGCGAAATTTAGTTCGTTAACGTTATCGTTATCAAAAAAGTACGCGAGCGGCTTTTTAGTCCAGTCAAATAAGGTCTGAAATCAAAATTTTGGTACTCAACATTGCATTTTTGATATAATATAATTTTAATGATACAAAACAATGTGTAAAGATTTTCGTGTCTGCAACCCTCGCCAAGGGTTGTAAAGAAAATGTCAAGTATTTCGCAATTACTCGAAAACGTTAAAAATTAGACAAATAAGTTTTTATGAAAATGTGTAAAGCTTAAAATTTTACATAAAAGAGGTTTGACGATTTTTTCCTCCGGTCAAAATTAACCAAGTTAGGGAGGTTTAAGATTAAGGGATGAACGTAAATTTATAAAATCGTAGGTAGCAGAAAAATAAGCGCATTTGATTTTTTTTTAATTGCCTAAAAATCTAATCTTTAACTTTAGAGATACCGATTTTTTTATTGAAAAAAAAAGTATAACAATTTGAAATTTTCAAATTGAAATTTGAATGCTTAAAAATGAATGAATGATTTATTTTTTTTGCCTAATTTAGATTCCTAAATATGGCTAAAGTTATGAAATTTTACGATTGAAAACAATATTTACCTGGTATATTAAAGATTAGATTTTTCTAAGCAATTTAAAAAAAAACGCTTATTTTTCTACTATCTACAATTTTTTTAAATTTACGTTCATTCCTTAAGTTTAAAACCTCCCAACTCGGTTAATTATGACCAGAAGAAAAACATCATAAAACCTTTTTTTATGTAAAATGTTAAGCTCTACACATGTCTAATTTTTAACGTTTTCGAGAAATTGCGAAAAAACACTTTTGACAAATTTTATTCAACCATTGCCGGGGGGTTGCGGACACGAAAATCTTTACACACTGTTTTTGTATCATTAAAATAAAAAATGCAAAGTTGAGTGCCAAAACTTTGATTTCAGACCTTATTTGACTAGACTGTGTAAAAGCTTTGTCGTGACGGCGATAGGATCGACAAGACTCGAACACAAACAACAAATACGGACAAACGCCTTCGATTCACTATTTTCGGTCACATTTCCAGATTTTGAAAATAAGTAAGCGGATGCTTTACGGACTCAATTCACGAGATGGAACTTTAGTAAAGAGCACGAAATGCGTTTAAATTACAATGTATTCTTATACACTTGAAGTTTAAGATATAGAAAAGAAAATTTACAACTAATCTCTATTATGAGTAGGGCAATTTCATGTTTTTGTGCCTTGACTCGTATTTTTACAGAGAATTCTTACTCCTGTCCCCATTTTTACTATAATTTTGGGCAGAAATCTTATCGTTTAGACGATTAAACTATACAGCCAAATCTATTTTTAACATTACCCTAATGTTAATAAATTGTTGTCTGTCTATAAGGACAGATTTAAATGGAAAATTATTAAATCTTACGACTTTACAAAGATTGTTTACAGTAGTTTTATCCACTATTATTTCATCATCAAAAATATATAACTTAGCTAAATACAAGACGCAAATATAAAAGAATTGAAAAATTCGTGAGCAACACTGAGACGAATTTAGTTTTTGTTTCGGTAATATCTCAAACAGTTCAAAACATAAGCTTTTTTGTTACCATTCCCGCGGTCGCGATCATAGTATTAAAAACAAATTCTAGTATTCATTTGTTTTATCGACAAGAGGTACATCGTTTGTATCAGTCACCTTTGAACTCAGGATGAATTTTATTAAATTATGCTAGCATCGTATTAAAGAGATAGTATTTTAGTTGAAAACTTATCAATAATAAACGGCTATACATAATACTATCATTTGTAATGTTATAATAAAACGATTGTTACAGTTATTGGATGAGTCATATGGAACATTCAAATATTTGTAAATGTGCATTTTCCTTGAGATTCTTCCTTGAGAAAGATTCGCCATAACCGTCACGCTTGGCAAGCGAATTGGATTGTCAATAGCAGCAGTAACAGATATTTAGCAACTTTGACGCTGCTCCTCGTTGAGGAAACCATTTAGTTTAAGTAAGTCCAAATAAATGTACTGTTATGCCGGTCAGTTATATATGTATATCCAAATATTTGAGCAAATTTGTGTGGAAACTTTGCAAATGAAATGTTGGCATCCCGCATATATATTTTTACTTCCAGAAGAAGGGTCAAACGAGTTAACCTAATGGTAAATGCTATACAAATGAATAGCAATGTTATTTACGTGCTCATTGTGAATCTAAATGACCAACGTTATACATACATTGGTCACAAGTTTCGTTATTTACTGTCATTATTTGAAATGTTTTTTGTTTATGTGAGTTCGAGCACTCATCTGAGTCAGTCTTTATTGCAAATATTGCCAAAACTATGCAGTCATAATATGCTTATACTTTCTTACACCTGTAGATTTGTAAATTTGGACACATGTGAGTGACCAGCATTTCATTTACCACAAAATTTCTGAATTTAAATGAAGCTATTCCCATTTATATATTTTATTAAAATATTTTTATAAATATTTTTTATTCAAATATTTCGAAGACATGTGAAGTTCGCGAACACGCACTGGGGCAGCGCGGCGGATATTTCCTTGCCCTAAAACCCTCTCAGAAATGAGAGGAGGCCTGTGCCCAGCAGTGGGACGTAAATAGGCTGCAACTTTACTTTTTTTTAATTCCCATTTCATCATTATCATAATAGCTCTTCACAATTCCACATATGATCAAAGGCCTCCCCAAAGGAATTCCACAAAACACGGTTCTAAACCAATTCCATCAATCGAATTCCGTTTGAGACCTGCCTCTTAGAGTGACGACCCCGTATAATGTCTTACCAGGTCGTGACTCTATCAAACGGAGCGAAACGCTACACTTCATTTACCGGTACAAGGCCCAGAAACTCCAGAACCTTTTTTCCACATCGGTTAATGCATAAACTAAATGATACTACTGTCATATACTTAATAATAAATATAAGCATATAGAAATCATGACCAATATAAATCAAAGATTACACAACACAGTGATTAATAAAAACTTTTGACTGCGGATAAAAATCAAATTGACATACCCTAGACGGCAAGTTTCTGCGGGGGCCATCCTCATTTTCTAAACACTCAAATTGGTGCATGATGCCTGGAGCCTTCATTCCAAGTATGAACATTATCATGCACGATACGTAACGTCCCACAAAAAGCGACATCTCTAGGCGATCTTGTAGACTGAAAAGATAGAATTTTATTAACAAAATTATCATTAAATAATTCATATCACTTTTCTTTGTATTTATAATAACTTATACACCTTATTTAACACTTTCACTGTACGATTTGCAGACAAGACAATAGCAATGACTCATATGTGAGTCACGGGACAGCGAAAGGGTTAACTTGCCGTGCGGTGAAGGCGAAAGGAAATCCAAACCTATTGCACCCCGTGGGTGTGTAATGCCACATTTACACTCAGCCACTGCCGCTGCTTCTGTCACCGCCGGAAATATTTCCCTAAATACTTCTGCGGCAATAACGACGCGAGTGGATGTTCACACTCAACCTTCATACTTCTTTATTGATCAACTCGCAACAATGACTGACGTCGAGGTAGATGATGCGACAGCATTATGTCTGCTCAGTATAAGTAATTATTTTAGTGTATTAAAAGCTACAATTTATGTTTTTTATTTACGCTAGAAGGTCACCAGTTGATCGATTTCGGCGAAACCCGTACTGGCGATCACTAAAGAGATCATTTTGCTCTAGGTATGCCATGAGGTGGGCGTTCTATATACGCTCCATAATCTTTCAGAGTATGGAGGTAATTGAAATTGGCCGATAGTTGGCAGGGTCGGTACGGCTACCTTTTTTAGGCACAGGCTGCACATTGACCAGCTTCCAAGATTTAGGCACTATTCCAGTCCTGAATGAGAGGCGGAACAAGCGTGTCAACAGAGGAGACAACTCAGGTGCACAGATCTTTAGAACTATAGCTGGTATACCATCAGGTCCACTAGCTTTGTTCACGTCTAGACTTCGCAAGGTTTTAAGAACCTCCTTGTTTTAAGAACATAAATTGTGGCTTTTAATACACTAAAATAATTACGTTACCTCTGTCTGAGGTCTGTGATACGGTACCTCAGACAGAGGTAACGTAATTATTTTAGTGTATTAAAAGCTACAATTTATGTTTTTTATCATGAGGATCCCATATTACCCTCTCAATTTCATAAAGTTGTTGCGTTGCTGTATTTCGCGCTGCCAGTCCTTTAACTTCCGCGCGAAAAACTGACAATCGAGCGAGCCCCGGGCAGTGGCAGCGGCATGGGCAGTGACAGCGCGAGTAACCTATTTACATACACACGATGCCCACTTCTCGACTTACTTCCCTGCCCAACAAGGCTGAGTGTAAATGTGGCTAAGAGACGAGTATTGGAGAAGCTAGAAAAATCTTATGGCTTTTTGATACATGGCCCTATAACTGTCACATTTACATCGGACCGGATGTAAAATACTCAGATCGGCGACGAGCACCAGAGATGCGAGACTGGTCCTACGATCGCCAATTAAGATTCGCTCCCTGCATTGAGAAAACTAAGAGAGAAGAGGAAGAAGAAAACTACGAAATATTGTTTTATTCTTTAAAACTGTTATTACATAATAGGACAAACATGCAAAAGAAGTGTTTTTATAACATATTTTTTATATGTTTGAAAAGAAAAAAAGTGACCTTGGTAAGTCAGTGTGATATTACAGCAATAATTTGCTATTAGTTATAAAAACGATAATACGTACTTCCTCAGATGCCACCACCATCCTTCCTTGTTAAGATTCAAAAATGATAGATTCTCTGATACAAATATCATGGCCCAAAACACAAGTAGCACAAAACCATGACCTCTCGGAGGTACAGAAGGTAACAAATAGCGTTTTTCTAAAACAGCTAAATAAGCTGACAGCGGAAATACAACAAGGGTCACTACCAGAGCTACAATCTGAAACAAAGTTGTTTATAATGTATTTTATAGAGATTAAAAACACCATTAAACCATCAGCATCGCAAACATTAGGTTTCCTGATTAATTTTCGGACACCCGAAACTTTGAATCCATTACGAAAAGTAGAGCAACATAATTTAATTTTTCTTAGAAATATTGTACGTCAATAAAAAGAAATCATATTTAGTTTGATTTTTGTCTTTCAAAAAAAAAAATAATGGGGATAAACGAGCACACAGTCCACCTGATGGTAAGTAGATTCTATGGCCTATATATATCTACACTAATCCTCAAATAAGAGTCAAAATGCAGATGCGTTGTCATGTCTGAACTCTAAGATAGAAGGCCTCATTTTCAGTAAAAAGGGTCTCCGTTTCTCTACACTCATCATACGAAACACAGTAGCATTAGGTTGCTATTTTACGCTGTTATTCTGTAAAAACGTGCTCCTACCACGGTCGACTCATTCGTGCTACAACTATAATATAGCTGCAGCGTAGCTCTATCTAGATATATATGGGCTATATGGGTATAGTAGATATATATGGGCCATAGAATCCACTTACCATCAGATGGACTGTGTGCTCGTTTATCACCATTATTTATTTTTGAAAGACAAAAATCAAACTAAATATGATTTTTTTTATTGACGTACAATATATCTAAGAAAAATTAAATTATGTTGCTTTACTTTTCGTAATGGATTCTAAATGAAGTTTCGTATAATATCAGATTTTACAGACATTCTGTAAAATCGAAGAACGCATCTGGATGTGCTCGTAATTTTGATCTTTTGAGATACTCGTAAAATGGACTCGTTTATACTCTGTGTGTAATGGATATACACAATAACGACGTTTCCTCTTGTTAAGTACCAGCAAGAGCGGAATAGCAATTAATTCATCGTTATCCATTTTGACGTACGTTCACAAAAGCGTTACTGAACGTACTACTCGTACTAATAAATTCCAAATAGAAAGAAACGATTACGTTCGCCCTAGGCTGACGGGATTTCGAATCTGAATTCCTGATACCTGATCAGGAAACCTGACGTTTTCTTAGCATATTCTGTTTTTTTTATTTCTTACAAAACTATTTTATTATATATAGTATAACTCCGCCTCCAGGTCCTTCAAAAGCGTCTTTGCCAAGGCAAGGTCTGAGCACATCGGCAGAATTGGCAAGAAGCTAGTTCGCCTTCCTTCGGGAACCCGTGCATTCTGGTCTCTCGCCAAGGCTGTCCAAGGGAACTTCTGTCAGCCATCTCTTCCATCTCTGCACAGAGGACGACTCACTGGCCCATGCCGCAAAGGAGGAAGCCGATCTGTTGAGCTCTCTTTTTGTGTCCAACTCGACTCTAGATGACGGGGGGAACACACCGCCGACCATCCCGCGATGTGAGTGCTCCATGCCGGATGTGCGGTTTACACAGCGCTCGGTTCGCAAAGGACTCTTCTCCCCGGACGTCAGCAAGTCGAGTGGGCCCGATGGGAGTCCCTCCCATTGTGCTGAAGACGTGTGCTCCGGTAGTTGGCACCGGTTTTAACGCGTCTTTTGCGGTACTCCTAAGGCATAGTCCTGAATTCTTGGAAGACAGCTTTGATCCACCCGATACCTAAAAAAGGCGACAAAAGGCTCAGACTCGTCCAACTATAGGCCTATCGCCATCACCTCCTTGTTCTCCAAAATAATGGAGTCCATTATAAACTGTCAGCTCATGAGGTATCTTGAGGATCACCAGCTGATTAGTGACCGCCAATATGGTTTTCGTCGGGGTCGATCAGCTGGTAATTTTCTGGTCTACCTGACTTATAGATTGGCGGAGGCAGTAGAGTCCAAGCGGGAGGCATTGGCCGTTAGATTGGACATAGCGAAGGCCTTCGATCGAGTCTGGCACAAAGCACTTCTTTCGAAGCTCCCTTCCTAGAGACTTCGTAGTCTCGTAGTAGACGGTGCATGCTCCGATTACAAGCCTACTAACGCTGGTGTTCCACAAGGCTGCGTGCTATCACCAACGATGTTTCTTTTGCATATCAATGATATGTTGCAAACTGGTAACATTCATTGCTATGCAGACGACAGCACTAGTGATGCCTCATACACAGGCCGTGCCAATGTTTTTCGGGAAAACGTCGCCGAGTATCAGAACAAACTTGTGTCTGAAGTCGAGTCTTTGCTGAAATTCTCGGATTGGGGGCGACTAAATCTAGTCCAGTTCAATCCCCAGAAGACACAAGTTTGTCCGTTTACCGCTAAAAAAAACCCCTTTGTCGTATCTCGTCAGTTTCAAGGCACTTCCCTTGCTGCCTCAGCTAGCATCGAATCCTCGGCGTCGACATATCGAATAGTGTGCAGTTTCGTGGTCACTTGGAAGGAAAGGCCAAATTGGCCTCTAAAAAGACTGGCGTGCTCAGCATAGCGAGACAGTATTTCATGCCAGCACATCGCTTGCAACTTTACAAAGCGCAAGTTGGGCCTCACATGGAATACTGTTCTCATCCTCTGAGCTGGGTCATCCCAGTGCTAGTTCCTTCCACTTGACCGCATCCAGCGCAGAGCGATTCGAATCGTCGACGATCGACTTCTTTCTGATCGGTTCGATTCACTGGCGCTGTGTAGGGATATTGCATCGCTTTGCATTTTCTATCGAATCTACCACGGGTGCCAGTGCTCTGAGGAATTGTTCGGATTAATTCAAGGCGCCAAATTTCACGAAGGCACATCGCGTCGAAATTCACGATACCATCCTCACCATCTGGATGTTTGGAGGTCCAACACTGTGCGTTTTACTAGGAGTTTTCTTCCTCGTACAACTTCTCTGTGAAAGTGTTTACCACCGGCAATTTTTCCGGACCGATACGACTTAGGGATCTTCAAGAAAAGAGCTTACACCTTTCTAAAAGGCCGGCAACGCATTTGCAATCCCCCTGGTGTTGCGGTTGTTCATGGGCGGCGGTATTCACTTATCATCAAGTGAGCCGCATGCTCGTCATCCCCCTCTTCTATAAAAAAAACCCTCTCAATATATAATTGATGGCTTCGTGGGGTAGTGGCTTAGCAATGAGTTACAACGCTTGGAGCTGCGGGTTCGGATCCCGTACGGAACAAGTATTTGTATGTCCTACAAATAATTGTTCTGGGTCTGGATGTTTGTCCTTGTGCCATTTGTGTTTGTAAACTGCTTCCACGATACAGGAGAAAATACTAGTGTGGGGGTAAAGTTTTTAAAAAAAAATTATTATAATTAGGCTATAATTTACCATTTCTAAAAAAAATTCTCTACTGGCCATTTCAGTAAATATTTTTAATAAATTAAACATACATATTATATAAGCATCATTATAAGCCCTTATCTCATTCCACAACTTACTAAGATAATTCATTCTATACTTAGTATGATCTTGGGACGTATTTATTTTTATTTTACTTGTAAAAATTATAATAAATTACATATATTAGAGGGATATTGTAACATCTTCTTGTACGATGTAACTCGGAACCTTAACACAAAAGTTTACAACCAGTGCGTGTTGCCGTGTTCCGGCACTGCTGGCAAGAGATAGCCCAAAGTCACTAAATGCTTTGCTCGAAATTTTTCTGCGTTATGAAATCCGCATCGAAGATATCCACAGAAGATCAAGGAGTGACTGATATAGCCCAGCATCGACAATCGTGACAAACTCGTACTGATAAGAACAGCGTTGAGCAACAGTACAATAGTCTAGTGGGGCTAGATGGAGTGCCGACCTGATAAAACAAGCAGATAATAGATGAATGCAGCTGTCTTAGGACCGTACAATGTGTAGGTTCCTTAGACACCTGTATCTATCGTACGACTGTTCAGCGCAAAGCGAGTCACACACTACGCAGATACGATATCTGTATCTGAGCGCATATCTTTCAATATCGCTCTGTATGAAATTCAATGAACTAACACACAGAACGCAGATAATTTATATTTTATCGTTAAGTATCTGTAAGCACCGACATATTTCGAAAGACAGTGACAATATTATCTGTTCATACAAATATATCTGCAGATACAAATGGCATATGATTTTCCCTGCAGATAAATACAGGTTGGTCGCTGAAAAAATTCGATTAAATTCGCTTCGGTCCTTTTTAAGCTTTATATGACGTTTTATTCAAATTGTTCGCTGCTAATGAAACACGTGCATCAATATCAAGATCTGAATCCTATTCTGACGGGATGTAAGCAAATCAAGAAGTAATATCCGCCAACTCATTGCAGGTAACACTCTGTATAAACAATCCGCTACAAAAAACACGTCTTGTAAGTTTGAATGATTTCGAGTGAATGTATCATTTCGTATAGGTATATATTATCGTATGTGCGTAGTGTGTGATACTTTCAGATAGTTAAGTTTTTATACGCAGATTAATATTATCATATCTGCGTAGGGTGACACGCTTAAGACTTGTGTGATGGGCTGTCATGATGATGATAAAATATATATAGTTCTCGTGGCTTGATCTCATAATATACAATGTGTAAATACTTATCACAAAGTTATAAATATCTATCTTAAAGTTACTCATCCCTAAATTTACCGATCTTTTTCATCTTAGTTTACGGATTGCGGACGAGTCTTGTTTACAAATTAAGTGACTTTTGGAAAGAAGAATAAAATAGAAGAGCCTAACTGACTGTTTAATTTTAGGATGCCGTTAAGTCTTGTGCTGTCTCTATCACTTTTGTCAAAAGTGACTGTGACACAACGAGGCATAACAACATTTTAAAATTTAGTCGCCTTTGGGTATTTGGCCAATAATGAAATAAAGATATTTTTACAATTTTATCCAATAAACAATTAATGAGAAAACAATAAAGAAAAACAAAAGAAATCGTGAACACGAAAGAAAAAATTACACTTAAAATATAATATTAAAAAATATATTAATTTTGTATACGTTATTGCAGGCATGGTGTACATTGCTTGTATACTTACGACTTACCATATAGCCATAGATATGTCCTCCCTTAAACACTAGTGCCTGTAACAGGAACCTTATCACTGCTAAAATAGGTACAAATAGTGTGAAAAATAATTGTACAGCAAACCATTTAGAAGACCTAACATCTACCACTTCAGTGGCATATCTGAAACAAAAAAATATTTGTTATTATGTACTAATAATAAATGTACGTAATTAATCTGCACATCATTATATTTAAAAACAAAATTTAAAAAGTAGCCAATGGCTATGTTCATGGTGGCTTACACACCTTGCTAAGTTTATAAAAATGCATTATATTTAAATATGGAACCAACAATCGAGAGCCCTGGTAGCTCAGAGAGAGCCGTGGTAGCCCAGATGGTTGACACTCCATATTGTGAGGAAACCTGCATGTCTGAGAAATAAGAAAAAAAAATTTCGAAGACATTTGAAGTTCTTCAACAGGCAGCGCGGCGGACATTTCCTTGCTCTAAAACCCTCTCAGAAATGAGAGGAGGCCTGAGCCCAGCAGTGGGACGTATATAGGCTGTGACAAACAAACCAATATCAAAGGAATCGTAATGATCATCCACGACCATCGTAAGAGCTCCTATACTCCGATACTCCAAAACTATTGATCTTATCCTAACTTGCTGCGACTTATAAGGACTTTAAACTTTTTTGAACCCTTGTAAATAATTACACCTGGGTCATATAATAAAAAACAAAATCATTTTATAAAAATTGCACATACGAACAAGGGTAGTGTGAAGAGAGACCCATTTTACTGGAAAAGAGGCATTCTATCTTAGTCCTCATGGCTGACAACGCATCTGCATTTTAATTCGCATACGAAGATAGATGTAGATGTCTATGGGCCACAGCAACCACTTAACATCAGGTGGACTGTGTGCTAGTTTGTCACCCTATTCTATAAAAAAAAAGATGCTTAACTACTACGAATCACAAGAAAAAATATTAATTTTAATAAAAAGTAAAAGCCAACTTCAAAGAAATAAAAGAGTAAAATAGACATTCTGAAGTAGGGGCTTCAATTCTTCCAATTATCTATTACTCAAAGCACCGAGTTCAGAATGTGAGTGAGTTATTTCTTTTACCCCTTTGAGTTGACTAACAAATATCACAATCTCAATGTCGTCTAAATACCTAGTTACATTAAATACTCCGTACCCTATTTATGACCCTTACGGGTGGAATTTAGTCTGCAAATTTATATGGGACTACTCGTGAAGTATAATATATATGTTTATATATATAAAACCTGTGAAGTATTTTTTATGATTATTTTATGATATACCTATATCATAAAAAAATATCGCAATCGGTTCACGATTAATAAAGACATCGCATAGCAAAAATAGAGATGAATTGTAAAACCTTTGTGAAATAAAAAGGCATATTATTATTTAGGAAATCTTGAAAACATTACACAAATTTTTATATAAGATAAAAATTTGTAAAATTTATCCATTTTTTTTAAAATAGATAAATTTTACAAATTTAAAATTTTTCTATTTTTGTAAAATTTATCTTTATCAATAAGATAAAAATAAACCAAATCGAACAATTCAAGCGCTCGATGTCGCCCTAATCGTGCCCACTAAAACATCTTTGAGGTTGGACGTACGTTGTTATTACTTTAATTTTCCACGCATTTGTACTAACACGTTCGACAATTGCGACGAGCGAAGTAACTTTTTATGCATCCTACAAACTGTAATAATGATGATTATGCAATACAGTATGCCGTTATTGTATATATGTATAGTATGTAATAATTTTGGTATAACAAGAACTAATCAACAAAAGTATTTATTATCACTTCACTTATAAAAATATTTAACTCAATGATAACAGTACATTGATGTACAATTTCATCATCATCGTTATAACCCTTCACAATTCCACTATTGAACGTAGGCCTAGGAATGCCACAAAGCACGGTACTGTGCCACCTGCATCGACTTCCCGTATGTCTTACCAGGTCGTCACTCCATCTAATGGGGGGCCAACACTACACTCTCGAGAACCTTTCTACCCCATCGGTTGTCAATTCTTCGAGCTATATGGCTGGTCCAATACCACTTCAGCTTACTAATCCATTGGACTATGTCGGTTACTCTGGTTCAACTCAGGATATCCTAATTTCTAAGTATATCACGCAAAGAAACCGCGAGCATAACCCTTTTCATAGCTTGCTGAGCGACCTTGAGGTTCCCCATACAGCCAGTAGTGAAGGACCACGTCTCAGATCCATAAGACAGCATTTCGTTTTCAAGTTTTGAGGTATACCTGAAGAAGTTGAATCCGTCGATTGACCTGTCGGTTGATGTTGGACCTATCTAGTCGAATTATTTGGCCTAGATAAACATACTCGTGAACAACTTCGAGCGCAGTGCTCCCAACAACTACGGGCATAGGTGTGACATGGACGTTACACATGACCTTTGTTTTGTCCATGTTCATCGTAAGATCTATCCGTTGGGAGGCACTATTGAGGTCATTGAGGATAGCGCTCAGGTCCTCCAGCGATTCTGCCATAAGGACTATATCGTTAGTAAATCGAAAGTGGGTTATGTACTCAATAGCTTATAAATAGTTTGAAAAGTCTTTCAATGCTGTTGTTAACGAGTTTTGGGGCTATAACGTCACCCTATCTTACACCTCTCTGCAGTTGGATGGGTTTCGTATTCCGGTTCTGTACTCGGATAGTCATCGTAGCCCTACTGTACAAACACGTCAGCATTTGGATATACCTGCGATATAAATCTACAATTTATTAAATGTTAATAAACTTTATAAAATAAATTTTAATTTAATCGCTATATCATTATCACAAACATCTTATGTGTGGTTACAGCTGGTATACTAATGTTCAACACTGCTACCCGCGGTGTCATAAATCATCGGTGCGCTAAGGACAGACGCGTGCAATGCGTCACTTATCGATAACCGCTTATTGATTCGTAAAGGATGGAAAATAATGAGCGATGGCGCGCGGTAGGTTATTAATAAGTGCGGGTAATTTAATAATTACGCTGTAAGGGTAATTTAATAATTATTAATTACCTGTAGAGGGTATAAATATCTGTTTTAATATGCTTCTATAGTCACATGGTCTATTTACATTTCGACGTTGCTGATTATTGATTTAACATAAGTTAAAATGGACGCTTTTTAGAAAGCAACATTAAACGTGTTGGAATAAATATTCAACCTCAAGCGCGCTTTGTTATTAACAAGTTTTTAACGGCAGTTAAAGAAGATTCCGAAAAATTAAAAAGTACCAATTTCTACCAAGGTCGTGAACTAACTGCCAAGATTTGTGTTTTCAGTTGAAAAACTAAAATATACACATCGACATGACAGTGGTCAGCGTCACTATGCATGCCATAAGGCCCGTAAGTGCGACAGAGAGCGCAACAGGCGGCGCGGAGTCTTGTTTCCCAATTTTATAGCACCGCGGGCACATTAGTGTAACCTTGTATAAAAACTGCAGTACCATGGTGCTTATATCTTAAATGCTGCTCTCTCATATAGGTCATCCATTAAAAAGACTTCCATCATTTAGATGCCACAAGATATTCATTCGCAGTAACACAGGACAGCGTTAGAGAGATTACGAAATATTTTATCATGTATACATCAAAACTTGAAAACAAGAGAGTACAACCAATACGTGCTGCCAGTGATGACATATGGATTTGAGACAAGGTCTTTTACTGCTGGCCGTAAGACGAAGCTCATCGTCGCTCAGCGAGCTATTTTTTTTTTTTACTTTGTTTATACACACAAAGTAAAACAAAATGGAGAGAGCTATGCTCCGACTTTCTTTGCGTTATAAACTATGTACGTAATGAGGATATCCCCTGTAGCTGAAGCTGAAGTGGCAATGAGGCGCCTGTATAGCTAGACGAACCGACAACACATTGGGTTCTCTTTCCAATCCACTGGATGAAGTGACGACCTGGTAAGAAATGCGAGGTAAATGGATGCAGATTTTAGTTATTTCTAGGATCCCGCGCTCAAAGGGTAGAATGTAGCCCTTTTTTTGTAATGCCAGCGCTTGATTATAAGCCACCTGGTGGTATAAATAGCGGCACGAAAGTCGAATTAGGTACAAAACCTTTTTCAGTGCCTAGAAGATTGTAATACAGAGGACGATATGAATGACAAGCACGTAGAAACTGTCCATGCGTTCAAAGCTAAGTTTTGCAAGACTCGTCGCAGAAGAACCCAAAAATTCTCCGATCAGACTCTGAATCTCATGACTTTTAGACGGGACACGCAGCTGCTGCAGTATGACAGCATGCACATAACTGAACAGACAGATCTTCAAATGCATGCGGCGAGGCGTTCGATCGCTTTTTCAATACACTTATTGAAAAAGCGATCGAGCGTCACCAAGGCTTCAAAGTCTTTGCTAGAGATCTGTTTGCCAAAAAGAGGAGCCAACTGCCGAAGTTGAAGATCGAATGTGGTAGCATTGTTTCCAGGACACCTGAGATTTTGAGTGAGATTGAGAGGTTCTACGGATAGCTAGTTTCACAAGTCATCGATGGAGCCACACGCAAGTGTAAGTAACGATCTAAGATCAAGTCTTATTCGACACTACTTCAATGATAGCCCGCACATCAGTCTGAGCGAGATTAGAATGGCTTCTTAAAAACAGTGAGGACCCGGGTGAGGATGGAATTACTACGGAGCACAAACGACATACATACCCTTCGGCAAATTGTACATAAGACCGAAGAGTACAATCTGCCACTTTGCCTTGCGTATGTAAACAATGAGAAAACCTTTGATACCTTCGAAATTTGGGCGGTGCTATAGTCCCTTCAACGGTGTCAATTGACTGTCGGTATATCGAGTTCGAGGTGCTGAAGTGTTTGTTCAGTTGGGCTACGATAGCTATCCGAGTACAGACCCAGAGTACGAAACCTATCCAACTGCAGAGAGGTGTAAGACGGGGTGAAGTTATATCTTAGAAACTCTTCACCTCTGCATTGCAATACTTTTTCAAGCTACTGGACTGGAAAAGTTACGGCATTATTATCAATGGCGAGTACATCACTCACCGTCGGTTTTCCGACGATATAATCCTTATGGCAGAATCGCTGAAGAACCTAAGCATTATGCTCA